AAATAAATGTGGAGATTGGTCAACAATATGGGGAAAGTTTCCCCTAAATATTTTTGGCCATCTCCGCTAGCCATTAATCAACACCTTACTAAATCTAGCANACATATATTTCTAAAATGTCCTCACTTATTGTTTCACAAAAGCATTTTTTATATTAAAATTTTATTTATTTTAATACTAATTTGTGGTTTTTAATCCATTTTATATGTGTCGAAATACTATTAAAAATGCACCAATAGCAATAGCGATGATCATCGGCCCGCCTCTTCCTCATAAGTTTGGATGGCCCAAGGCCGTTTTTATTTTATAGTTTTAAATTTTCATATTAACAAAATGATTGTAGGCACTTTACCTTTTATAATTTCACTAAATATATACTTATATCTATATAAAACCATATAAAATAAATAAATAAACGTCTATAAATTGACACTGTCTTGTCTCCACATTAAAAGTGGTAATTAAAGTATTTCGATATAATTTTAAAACTGAAAAATAATTAAATCTATTAAATTATTACACATAGAATTTGAGATAATTATACTAATAAAATCCAGAGAGACATTGTTGACTACACAACCCATTTGCTAATTTATTCTTTGATTGCTCTAAATCATGCACATTAGATAAACGAAGATGATAATTAAATAAAGATTATAAATTATTATGATGAAAATATTCAGACTCGTTTAGAAACAAGATAAACTAATTAATCAGAGATGATAATATATTTATTTTATTCGGCCTTAAAAATAGGATCTTTCAGAAATTATATTATTTTATAGTAATTTAATCTCAAATTGATTATTATTTTTTAGAAAAGTTGACAATGATAGTAAATAAACAATATTTAACAATTTCAAAAATTATGTGACGGCTAGATATTACACTAATAAATAAAATCTTATGAATAAAATTTGATTCTTATACTTAATTTTTATATAGAGTAAATGACATATTCCTACCCGAGGTTTGGCAAAATCCCAAACAAATATCCTCGATTCCATTTATTCCAAATTCTCACCTTTAAATGAACGCCGTCGGTGAGGATTTGGTTCAGACACAAGAGCAGAGAGTACTATTACTAAACTACCTTTCACCTCATTCCAAACCACCACAATCCATTCCAAGCCACCCCATCCCAAACTGCCACCACAGTCGACAAAACGACCCCATTCCATACCACCACACAGTCAACTCACCCTACAACCAATCAACAAATCAAATTCACCCCAAAACACAGATGGTGGGCGACAACAGTGGCAAGGAAAATCAGTGGTCGGTAATAGGGAAAATAACCAGAAAAAAACTACAACCAATCAACAAATTAAAGTCACTCCAAAACACAACAAAAACCTAGCAATCGAACTCAAAAACAAAGGCTCTNTTTGATTTCTCCTAGGATTGACTTCTTTTATTTTATATTATTCTTTGTTTGTATTTTCCTAGGTTATTTGAACACTTTTGAATTTCAAAATCTCCTTAGGCCGCCACATGTATGGTTGTTATTACCTAGGGTTGCTTTATGCCACATGGATGACTTAGATCTTTTGTAATTAGGGAAACTTTTGTAAGGCCTTATATAAGGTCCGAATTTTCCATGTAAAACTTAGATTTGATGAATGAAATTTGGTTGCTCTCAAGAGTATTCTTCTCCTTTATCCAACTTTTGCTAAGGGTTGGTAGTGGATCTCCTTGGTTAGTGGTGTAACCTTTAGGCCTTGGATTTTATCAACAATTATCTTCATTTTCATGTTGTGTATTGTTGTTTAGTTATAGTTGTTGGGTTAGCTGAGATTGTGCATGGTGAATATAGTTTTGGCCGAAAATCCTTGGAGTTGTTTTGTGCAGTTGCAGCTTGGCTTGACATTATCTCACTCAAACTCATCACATACAGTTCAAGTGGTATCAAAGCTTGGGTTAGTGAGTGAGATTTCTATCTTTTTCTATTTGTTCATGTTGAAATTTATGTTAGTTGACTGGAATTTTTGAAACCTGTTGAGTTTGGCTTTTGTGTGTTCTTCTTTCACCTCCAGTGTGCAAACACATCTCCATACACCTATATTCACCTTAAACACTTACCACATGTCCCAAAAACTTCACCATTTACCCACTTACAACCTGCAAACACTTCCCAAAAGAGACAAAGTTTCATTGAAACTTTGGTTCTCTTTCCCTAACACCACTTAGACCTCAAACACTCACCAAACACCACCTAAACTCTAACCACCCTAATGTCCAACAAAACCAGCTCTTCATCACCACCCCCACCTTGGGAATTTCCTAACCTTAGGATCTAGGAAGAGTTAAATGATCTTAAGGAGCAAGTAGGCACCATTGCCCGAATGCTTAGAGCTCAAGAGCTCAAGAGCTCAAGGTGAAGGAGAAGTTGCAAAAGAAATAGGCTTCTTCCATTGGACATAAAAGAATTGCTAATCATCATGCAGATTCTGACCTGAGCTCTCACCTTTCATCTCTTAATTTGGATGACAAAGATATTACAGAAGAAAGAGGCTTCAAAACGTTTCTCAACAATGTCCTGTAAAAAGAGTAAATGGTCTGTAAGAATAATTTGTATTAGAACCAGTCCTTGTATCAATTTCAATATGTAAGTGTGAAGACCAAAACGGTGCCGTGTCTCTTAACCAACACGCTGTCGTTTCAAGCATGAATCTGGACCAGCAGTTTTGAGAAGATCCAACGGCTATGCTTAGTCCATCTTGGTCAACGATATATAAGTGAACTTTTTCTCTTTAGTTTCAAGGGTTTTTGTTTTTTGATTGAAACAGGGTTAGGTATTTGCTCTGCTAGGGTTCATCCTTGGTTCTGAAATCTTGGTTCTGTGTAACAGGTTGAGTGATTGATTTGTCATTCTGTTTGAGAGGTTTTGTCTTTTGGTTGGCTGGGATTCTTAGTGTATAGTTTCTAGGGCTATTAGTTACCAGATAGGGTGATTTCGGGTTTGATTGAATCTTTCGATCTTGCGTCTATAATCTGTAAACTGCTTTCCTAATAGTGCAGTGGGCTTCGACGTTTCCGGAGCTCAACGTGGACGTAGCCTTCCCAATCTTGGAAAGGTGAACCACGGTAAAAATTGTGGTGTTCTTAATCTTTTGTGGATGCGTCTTATTTGGTTATAATATGTGGTTTGTGAGTGTGTTATTACAACAGTGGTATCAGAGCGGTTTCACCTTAGAGCCTAAAGCGAGTCGTGAGATCCAAATTTGAGAAAATTAAATTCTAGGGTTTCATAGAAATTGGGGGTTTTCTAAAATTTTGAGTTCTAGGGTTCTTAGGAGTCTTTAGTATTTCTCCAAACCAGAANTAGGATAACGTCCATTGTTTGAGAGATAGGGCCTTTGTAATCATGAGTTGTGTGTTTGCAAAGTTGTACTCCTTTTGACTCATAGTAAAACATTCTCTATACTGCCTAGTACAATTGGGTGAACCATGTGTGTCTTACGACATTTATTATATGTTTTTTGTTATTATTTTTATAAACTTGTATGTGGGCACATTACAAGATTCATGAACATCCTCTGCTTAATTTAAAAGATAAGTACTAATCACAACTAAAGTTTAAATCTACACGTCACAAAAACTTTCAACATGTTGATTGGACGATTAACTTCAGATAAGAGAGGATCCCTTTTTGGACTTTTAAAGAAAAGGGTCTTCACGAATTGTTGTATTGGTGCTTGATTTTGACTTGAATACTATCATTCGATTTATGTTACTCGATTTAAATCCTTCTCCCTCTTTCCATGTAATTTAAGTGAAGTAATTTTTTTTTTTCTTGTCAAATTAAATTGCAGTTTGATCACTATAATTTTTATCAACTCGAAACATTGTAATCAATAATTTAATCAGTTAAGAAAAAATGTTTTTAGCATCAATCAAAGTAAATATGACCCACTGATGGATAGTCCAACAGTAAGGCAAACCAAAAAGGTTGTGCATGGTTTCAATCAACAATTCCAGGTTCGATTTCCAGTTAGAAATCTTTTCCTATGATTTATCTGAAAGGCCACGACGTGTTGTTGTGGGATAATTTTCCTTGAAACCCCTTAAACTTAAGCTTATGATTGTTGTGGGATAACTTCATCTTAAGCCCATAAAACTTAAGCTTATGTATGATTGTTACTCTGTTTCCAAGATTCATTTCAATTTGAATATAAATTAATACATTAATGCATGTAATTTGATTTGACAATCTCTCTTTAATTATAAAATGATAATTAAATTAATCTATCAAAATAACTTTTAGATGGGTTCGAATACAAAGTTAGGATCACATCGTTGCTTGTAATTCCTCTGATAACTAGTATTACATCTTTTCTCGTTCCAAGATTCATGTGAGATCTCTCATTCCCAATACTGACTTGTATTGTAATTATATAGGGTCCCAAGTTTTATTTGTCTGATACAGCTTTGATTATTTTTTTTTTTTTTTCCTTCTTCAAACAAATAATTGAGCTGAGACAACCTCTCACAACCATATCAAATCCCTTAGCTTGGTGGAAGGTCGGATATTGGTGGTTAGAATTGATCAAAATTTGACTTAGGAGGGGCAGCTATGTTAACCCTAATCGCTGTATTGCTGACGATTGACAAGATCGACAAAGTAAGGTTTGAGGAGTTTTGGTGAGTGATGATAGAGGAAGAGGATGGTGGTGGAATTGTCGCAACGATGTTAAAATAAAAAACGGAATATAAATTTGGGTAATAAAATGGTATTTTAAAAGTCTGTGTATGGGAAAAATCATTAAGTCATTAGGGTGGAAAAAAGTTGTTTACTCATTTTATATTCATGTTAATGATTATAAATTGTGTTAATTGTAAAATAAAAGAAAGAAAAGGAATATAAAATATAACGACGACATGACACAAAAATGTTATGTTACATATCATGCATACCCGACAGAATTGAGTCTCAAATCAGAACAAAAAGATGAAGAAATAATTTATTAAGATTTCTATATAAAGATTGTTGGCTCCAATAATTTAAAATTATCAACTAAATTTAGTAACAAGAGTTGACCAATCATGTATGTAGGTCTCTTCTGTCTACAATAATTAATTCTAATTATTATATAAAAACAAAACTGAAAAATACAAAATTAAGGACAAAAATTAGCAGTGTACTACATCAATTTCGTTAACATTTCTTGTTTTATCAGACAGAAGAGGCTCCTCTAAATCATTGCTGCATCTTGTTTTCTCTAAATCTTCAATCTGTAACTTTTCATTCTTATCTTCTCCTACATTATTGTCTCTGGCTTTGCCCCATAGCACAATATATAATCCAAGAATTACTCCAACTGCACCTATCAGACTGCCATGAAACAATAAATAAAGAAAGATGTTTGCGCGAGAGAATTTTCATTTTCATGGTTATTTTGAATATATATGTTACCTTCCAGTGTAAATCTCCTCGTTTAGTAACAAAGCAGCCAAGATGGTTACAATAACTGTGCATAGAGGATTGAACATTGCAGAGAAGACGGGACCCCTTTTTGAGACGCACCAAGCTTGAACAATGAATGAAACTCCTGAGCCTATAATTCCCTGTTGCACACATTGAGAAAAATTTACGACAGGCATTGTGTTGAATGACAAATTTAACAATTGCATATATTGTCACTAGAAATATGGTGTTTTCTGATGCAGTAATTGACATTTTACGTCTCGGATTACATATATTATCACTAGAAATACACTATTAAATTTCTGTTGTCTCATACTTTTTTTTTTTTTTAATGGCTGGAGGTGTCCAGGTGCACCTCAACTAATCCATCGGGACTCTAGAACTACCGGTTGGGTACGTAAGAGCTCCAGTGTCTACCCTTATTAGCAATCGAGCAGGGACTCGAACTCAGGATCTCTTGAGTAATACACCCAAGAATCTCTATTGAATCACTCAGTCATCCAGGTATTGGTTGTCTTATACTATTTTTCTGGCCGTGGTGGGTTAATATAATATTTTTTTTTCGATTTTGTAAAAAAATTATCTGAACTTATACTTACTGAGAAGAAACAGCAACCAATTTCAAGAAATGAATTAAAATTCCATGCTTCAGGATCTGGCTCAATGAATAATGTAAGTATTACTGACTGAAGAGTTGCCAAGAAACACATCCAAGCTGACAAAGATAAGTGGTCAGGATAGCTGGCTGAAATTAGAACCTGCAATTAAAAAATTATAATACAAATATTATCTATCCATAAAATTTTGAAGCATTGAACTTGAAAGAGAAATTTCGATTAAAACAAAATACCTGTAAAATCAGCCAAAGTGACCAGCAACAAGCACTTGCAAAGAGAAAGAGACAACCCAACAACCAGGTCTCATTATTTCCAGAGGCAAATAAAGATTTCTGTGGTGGCATTATTTCTGAATTCAGAAGCTTGGGGCCTCTCAGAATTGCCATGCAAATGGCTCCACTCACACAGAATAATGTTCCTATAATTTTTGCAATGCTTCTAATGCTTTTAATATTTATTGTCTCCAACCTACAAAATCAGATAAAAAATTTATGTTATATTCTATTAATTAATTAAACAAATTAAAGTTTGACAATTATTATTTAATTACCCAACAATGGATGCCATTACAAAAGTGATAGCGGGGACTAGATTGCCCATTGCACTTGCCATGGATGATGAAGCTAAATATAATCCCTCAAAATAAATGTTCTGATTTATCGTTACCCTGTGACAACTCAAAATTAATTAACCAAAAAATAATAATAATAATAATAATAATAATAAAGGAAGAAGTTAAATTAAAGCACATATGATAATACCCTATAAGTGAGGTCAAAAATATCAAAGAAAAGCTCTTTAATCCCATAGAACAACTTGACTTTCCCCTGCCAATTATAAACACAACACAAATTAAAGCAATTAACAAATTGATTGAAATAAAAATTAGATAGAGAGAGTTGCCATTATATTTACCTTGAGAAATAAGCAATGGGAGCAATGACTAAAGTTGCAATGGCTTGCCTGTAAACTGTGAAAACTCTAGGGCTCATTCCTTGCAGGAGAGCCGCTCTTGTGGAGAGAGCCACAACAGCATAGGTAAATTGTAAAGCAAACATCGCCATTGCCGGCTTTTGATCTCTTAAACCACCCATTTTTTACCAGCAAGATCAACTTAGAAAATCAATAATTTGAGTGACATTTGAAAGTAGTACAGCTCGTTGTTTCTATATATATATACTTTCAAGCATGCCCATGTGAACAAAAAAAAAAAAAAAAAAAAATGCTAGTGGAAGAAGACAATTAATCTGAATTATGGAATTGGGCTGGTTTTGGAATCGGTAGGATATCGATGGATTTTCTTTAATTTGGAATCAAGGTTTTGTGGTAAATGTTTGGATACTGCGACTACAAGCAATTTCAGTTTTGTAATATTTATAGGAACATATAAGCCATGAAATCACATGGAAAAGGGGACACGTTTAAGTACCTGATGTGGCTCCACGTAACATTTTAGGTATCTGATGTGGCTCCGCGTAACATTTCCAATATAAGCCAAAGGAAACTTCCGATTCTGACTCTGCTGTCACATGCTTCATATGCAACACTCTTCAAATTCATTCAACAAATCTAAACAATTATTGTTTGTCACCACGTTAAACAGCCTGTCTGGTTACATCTATATCATCCACGGCCTTCAATTTTTATTTTTTATTTTTTTATTCAAAGTGTCCAAAACAGTTTGCACGTATCTGAACTAGTCTTCAAGACTTTGAAGTTAACGGTCAGATAAACCTTCAGTAGTTACTCCTTATTAGTAGTAATATGAATTCGAACTTATGACCTCTTAAGTAATACATTAAAAAGTTTCAAGTGAACCGCTAAGCTATTTAGAGATACTTCACGGGCTTCAAATTCGTCACTCCTTTAGTTAGAAAAACGTAACAACAAATTGAGGAAGCTCTCGAGGAATCCGAATTTTACATTCCATACTTTCAAACATACATGATACGATTTATTTTTTAAATCGTAAAATAACTTAGCAAATTCGACTAAAACACATTTATGAAACCTTAAACGTTATATTTATAATATGAAACAAACATTCTACTTAAAAAAAAAAAATCTAATATTATATTTAATTGATTATCTATATTAACGTTAGAATGTTACACAGTATATGTTGAAAGATAAACACATTTTTATTTACCATATAACTAAATTGAAATATTAATTTCCCATGAATATTATTCTCACTCTATTAAGCATGTGGTCTAAGTTGGCAGTGATGGGTTATTGATTTGGCACCCTGTCAATAAAAGATCATTAAATGAATTTCAATATCCGTTTGTCGATTTCATCTGAATATATAATTATATATATTCCACATGGATTTACTCATTATGTCAGCTTTTTATTATTATTTTATATTATATAGTAATAATACTGTTATGCAATGGATATTCTTCTTGTCCCATTTTAATTCCCTTCTATTCTTCTATGTCCAGATTCATTTCTTAATTTTATAATATGGTGGCTTATCATCTTTTGATGAAGCTGAGGTTATTAATTTTTTTTATGAACAACTAGATAACTCAATATTCTAACTAGCAATTTTTCTTTTAATTTTTAATAATTTGAATCCCTTTTGGGCTTAGAGATTTCAGTTCATAGGGACTAGGCAATATCTCTCATACATAAATGGGCTGTGAATTACAACCTCTAATGGGCTAAGGTCCAAATTTTATTAATTTGTTAAATATTTCAAAGTTAGCTTTTGAAATATGTATGAAATTCACAATAAATTATATTAATTTCTTAAAAATTGTTTTCTAGCCTTTTATGGTAATGTTTGGTGAAAACCATATAGTACATTATCAAAGGCTAATTTACTATATTCATTTTTAAGGATATGCTTGGTATACCGTACTGAATATAACTAATTTTTTAATTAAATTGAATAAAACTAACGACCCATTGTGTCTCATGATTACTATATAAAATTTTTGACAAATCGATAATATTAATTGTAAAATGTGTTGAAATTGAGTACCAATCAAGAAGATGTGTCATGAGTTTTAATTATCAAAGGCTATTTGGTAAGCAAATTGCCAAATTTGGTCCATATTTTTGGGGATGCAAGTGCTGGCAATAACACATCGATGATTGTAGAAATGGGTTTTTTTTTTTTTTTTTGAATCTTTGGATTAATTAATCAATTATTACAAGTTGAAATAATATATTGACATGTCACATTAAAACTTGGACCATTCTATTAATTGTAGTAGCACCGTCCTTAACAATTTTTTTGATCATGCCATGATATGTGCCACTAGATTTTGGAGCACGTACCAATTTGTTGGCAGTTTGGCTTGAATTAATATTTTATATATCAAGTGGGTCACCATCCCCACACAATCAACAGGTGCACATGCCCCCCCTGAAATTAGAAACTTTTTTTGAACCCTTACTGTTCTCATCTAATTCAATTGTGCCCTTAATATATTATCTATTTTTAAGATTATGCCAAGCGTTGTATTGTATTAATTACTCTTATATAGTGTTCTTATACAATATAGTACATACATACGAAATGTTTCCTAACCCTTACATTGTGAAAACGTAATAAATGAGTACAAATTATTTATATATTCGGTCAAAAAGGTTTGATCTCTTTATTAAGTTTCTGGATTCGAATCTTAGAGTCATCTAACACAAAGAGACTTAACTGATCATTTGGACTTGTAAAATGTTAAATAAAAACCGAAGATTAGTTGAAATGAACGTAAGTTAACCTGGACATAAGAAAAGAAATATCAAAATATATTTCCCATTATTTATAATTACTTTGTTTTAATGCAATACTAATTGATTCATTAAAATAATTAAAGAAGATAGATGAACTTTATGAAGTTGTTCATAGAATATATAATACATATTTATAAAGTTAGGATTATTAATGTGGTCGCATTAAGGATACAAAATTTTGGAAAGAAAATGTGAGAAAGTAATTATACATACGAATCCCATAATTTGGGACGTGAGGCAGGAAGTAATCAAATCTCCCAGATGGTTTGTTGGGGTAGTATCTTTTTCTGTTATTCATAGCCACCCCTATATATTTAGTGAAATAGCGATCAAACCCCAGCTCTAGAAAACTAACACGTCAATGCTAACATTAGTAATCCACCGTTAACTTTAACACATGAAAGGTATTAATGTATTATCAAACCCCAGCCCGAGGGGAGGGAGATTGTCTTTCCATTAAACCTCAATTTGATAAGAGATGGCCAAAGTAGAAGTAAAATAATATTGACGGAAAGTAACATCAAGGGTGCCAATGTTAATTTAAAAAATCTGGGGGAAATTGATATTTTCACTAAACCTTGGGGGTGGCAAACAACACCCAATCTTTCCCACACAATTTACATGAGGATCTTATTCCAGGGCCTAATTCAAGGCCTCTCCAACTATGATTCTCAATAAAGGATATTTTTTTTTTTTGGTTTTGTTGTCATGATTTGGGTTCCTTTTATGCATATGTTAAATTTAAAAGTTTTTTTTTTAATAATAAACCCTATGTATTTGGCATTTTTTTAGTGAGTATCAGTTAGTTTTAAAAATATGAGTATAACCCTAAAATCTTTGGCCTGTTTTGTAGTGAGCACTCTTTGGTTTTAGAAACTAACTCTCATTTTTTAACAGATCATTAGGTTATTTTATTTAAGTTTGAAGGAAATAACATCTGTAAACTTCTCCAACAATACTAAAGGGTTAATATATTTTTTGGAAGTTAAATTAAATTATTAATAAGTTTGAAGGTTGAATTGATGAGATTCTGAAGTCGGCAGTCGCTCATTCCAAAAAAAGCCAAACACACTAGAGTTACTATAAATAACCCTGTAAAGACTATAATTACTATTTTATTATAGTAAAGCTTTCAAATAAAATTTTCATTTAAAATATTTCTTTAAATAAACTAATGAGATTTATTACTTGTTAAACATAGGACAATTTTAAAAACCTTATTTTATATTGTTATAGGCAATTACAAATTGCCCTTTTAAGTTTATGGAAAGTTTTGACCATTCCTAATTTTGTACAAATATACGATTCTTTGTTGCAGTTAAACATCATTTCTCAAACGCTCTCTTTGTATATATCAGAATTACCAATATATTCCTATTTTATGTTGTCATTGTGATTACTCCAATCTCAAGGGGAAAATCATAACTATGTACGATATATCGGTCTGGTAATATCAGCACCCTGAAGAAATTAAATGTCCACATTAATTAGGCGAAAAAAAGTTCAACACAGTTAAGCATAAAGATTCAACGTGGCCTTGTGTGGTAACAATTAATGTCTTAGTAGTTGGCTATATAAATTGTGCAACACAATCTATGCCTAACCAACATTTATTTAATGAGCCGGCAAGAAATTAATATGACAATTTGTTCGTTTTACCAAATCACTTTGATATTTTGACGAGAAATAAATGTTCATATTAGCTTGAAAAATCTTAAAATAGGGTGATGACAGGGATTAGATAGGTGGTCGATACAAATGCTTTCTAATGAAGTTTTGTGTAATAAATTTTCTTCAGCAATGATATAATGAATGTTCAATTTTGACTTGACACAAATTAGATTGATAAAATATGATTTTGATTTATTGATGTTTAATTATCAATCATTCACCACTGGAAGAATGACGACCAGTATCAAACTATAACCAGATATATATTTCCCCTCATATATATATCTTAATGAAATTTGGTTTGGGTTTGTTTTTTGTGATTTCAAATTAATTAAAAAAACAGATAATCTAAATTTTTGAGTTGTATATTAATTTTTAAATATTATTTACAAATTATATATATATATATATATAATATTAATATATATATAATATATATATATATATATAATATATATTATATAAGGAAGAGAGAAGAGAAGGACTTGTTTTTATTTACTATTTTACACTAATTTTATGATTATGTCCGAAAATCTTTTCGAGAAAATCAAATCAAAGCTAGATAATCACACAAACCACTTGAAAGTTTTTATAGTACGCTTAGGGATTATCGAATTGTTGACAATTGGTTGATCAACTTAAATTATAATTATGAAATTTGGCATAACGATTAGATTAAGACAAGTACCTAAATATATATTTCCCTAGTTTATATGTACCTTAAAGAGGTTTATATATTTTTTTTTTAGATTTATTAATTCCCTTGAAACATCACTAACTTATCGTTAACTTAGACTGAAACCACAAAAACCTCTAGTTTAAATCGAATTACATGTCAATTTCAACCCATGTCATAATCTGAACTTTAAACATATTTTATAATCAATCAAGCTACATAAACGAAACCAATTG